CACATCTTGACCAACCACATGGACAAATAACGAAAAAGAAACTTGACTTTTGCTCTCATTTAGGTTTTCCACGTCGAACTGGAATATTCGCTAGCATTTCGTTTACTTATCTACCGTATTGATACCGATACTCGAAGCAACGATCATAGTTTACAACGTCCATTGTGCATTGGTAAATTTCATCATGATGTAAGTTAATGCTGAAGTTCTTGTTTGCCAAACAAACGTATTTTATGCTTACTTAGATCGAAACCGCACTACGTGACTGTCAACGTAGTACCAGTGGAACGATTTTTCTTGAGTCGCAATCGGGAGATTTGAAATTAAAAATCTCGTTGCAATACTCCAAGCGTGAAGGAACATTTAAACGTCAAACATCGAAACGAAGTCTCGCTGTATTCGGTAAAAGTATTGACAAATTAATGAGCACACCAAGTGGACTGTAAGTTTACGAACATTGTCCTCGCGAAAGCAATCTTTTTCTTCTTTGGATGTTTCAGTATCGACGATATTCCACGTATTGTTGTTAAATGTATTGAAATAGTTGAACGCGATGGTTTGACTGAAACAGGCATCTATCGCGTCTGTTGTGTCGCATCTGATTTACAAAAGCTTCGCCATGAATTCGACCGAAATTCTAATCGCGCCGAGGAAATGCTCGCTCAGAAGAACGTTCACGTTGCTGCTAATCTACTAAAACTTTTCTTCCGTGAATTACCCGATCCACTATTCTGTAGTATTCTCTATAAACAGTTTCTTCATGCAGTGCAACTAACTGACATTGATAATCAACGTGTCACACTATTAAACACCATCGACTCATTACCTGCTGCGAATCGAAAGATTCTATTCTATCTGTTCGATCATCTTATACGCATTAGTCAGTATTCCAATCAGAATATGATGCATTTAGAAAATCTAGCTGTCGTTTTTGGTCCAACGCTAATGCGCCCATCGAAATTGATCCTGGCGACAATCTATGCAGATAACAGCAATCAACGTTTGAATACTGTTGGAAACGGTCAAGGAACGTCCACTGATCTTGATCAGATGTCTTCGGAACTACAAGGTTCAATGTATCAATGTCAAGTTGTTCTTGCATGTTTGAAATTACGACGGGATCAAATCTTGAAATAGATTTTCATAATGGAAAGACCAACCTTATTTTTGAATTGCTTCTTTACAGTGAAACGAGTGGAAAATCTATTCAGATTTGAATGTATTTTTGTTTTTTGTGTGCTTGATTCTCTTTTGCATTCGTCTATACACATATACATGTGTCAATGTCACAGTTTTTTTTATAATCTTTTTTTTTATATATATTACGATGAAGAAAAATATCAAACGAACAGTTTCCGATTGTAATTTAGAGAAAGAATTGAATGTTTATTTGTCATATTAAAAGCTCGGAGTAAAAAAAATGTTAACAACAATTAAAGCGATCACATTATTGCAGCAAATAGTACAAATGAAATTTTTTGCTTGTCTGCGTACAGAGTTACAAGCATTTGTGAGAAAGATGTTCGAAGAAGAAAACAATGAGAGGAGTAAGCCAGATTAATAATCCGTTACCATTGAAGATGTTTATCAATGTTGACATCATATCATTCCGGTTTGGTATCAAGCCATAAGCAATGTAGACATTTAGGCACGGGTCCATGTGCTTCGAATTGAACGCGCCCGATTTCTGTCAAATCTCGGGCATTCAATACCAGAAGACTCACTTCGTTGTCATGATTCGTTCGCAGTAACGAAACAAGCAAGACACCATCGTCTTCATCTCCCTAAAGTCACAAATATAATTGTGTCTAGACGAATTAGTTGAGTCGTGTCTTACTTGTTCATTGTCAGGATTTCGTAAGAAGATTGGTTCGGATGTGTAGCATCCTTCCTCGTGCCAACTGATCGCTGTTTTTGAAAGAATATCAATCTTACGAAGCTAGATAACAGAGAAAGGTGAATTTGGAAAGAAACAATTTTCTAATCTTACTGCTCCACATTGTTCATAATCCACATCACTATTGATCGCATAGAAATATCGATAAAATTTTCCGTGGAATTGATAATAATCGATTTGTGGTAATTCACAACCAACATCAGCAATCAATTCTGGTTCGATCCAAAGGTTGTTGGAGTCCAACAGTGTCACTTTACATGATGAATAATCCACACCCAATGGTTCGTTTCTATTGCTTTCTAGTGACAATGGCAAAACGAATCGTTTCGGTCGGCCACGAAATTGTTTCGCAAAGTCGGGATTCAGTTGACCTTTCTACAAAATAAGCGTCTATTATGCATGAGTTGAAAGACATTTGTTGAATCCGTACCTCAAGCTCTTCGATTGTCATACATTGAAGCATGTCAGCATTTTCATAACAGCAGATATCAATAACAACGTTATTGTTATCTTCATAGGCATTGATGGTATGAAGAAAGAAGAAGACTGGAGCGAGGTAGATGTATTCGTCATGTTCGGCCATTGTATGACGATTAATCAAGCGAAAACGTACCTAAGTATAGACGTTTATGTATGAAAGAAAACTTGATTCTATTCTGAGAGTACATACTGGTTCGTTTCCATACCAAGCGAATGCATCTGTCAACGGACCATGTGTGATTGTCAACTGAAGAACTCGTGCAAGAGATATGCAAAGTGACTGTTCGATCAGAACAAAATAATTTTCAGTGACAGCAAATGTATGCATATACGACGGATTGAATGACCAACGGCATGGAATTTTGGTTAAAACTCGGCATTTTTGCATGAGGTTTTCCTCCATATTGCTTTCCGAGCCGCCTAAACGAGCAATTCTTTTCAATGTAGAAATATGATATTTCTATCTCATACCTGGAAACTCGAATATAACATAGTTCATACCGGTTAAGCCTGATGACAAACCAACGTTGAGCACAGTACCATCATTGAGGACAACTGCATGGCCACAATGAGAAACAATAGGCACGTGTTCACCTACGTGAAATTTGGAAACCGTTTCAACAGAATCGGGGTCAATTTCATGCATGACTGGCGTCTAAACAGTGATAAAACACTTCATTAAGTAAATTTTCCATTCATTTTTTTCTTACAAACCTCAGTCATCGCGAACAGCGCAACTTTGTCCTTTTTGACGCGATACGGATAAATGCTGATTAAAGCATTGTCTGAACGAAAGTCGTTCTTCGACTCAAACAACTGTTGAAATCTACAAAAGACAACGATGGTCTTATGTAAGAATCTTACACATATAACCGAAATCCTCACCTTGTGAAAAACCATGCCAAGCTTGATCCGGATTTATTCTTTGCATTCAAAGCATCGGATTCATCCTTATCCTTTGCTGTTCCATATTCCGAATAACAGGACCGGCCTGTTTCGTATGCTTTCTTATATGCATCGGACTGAAGAATTCGATTCTGATACATAACATGACCATTGGTGACCGTAAATCTATTTTAAAAGAGATGATGAAGAGAGAAAAAAGGCATAGATTTAACCTACTTTTGAATCAATGCAAAGGCATCGAACAGATGATTGACTCGTTTTCCAGTTACATCGAGGAGACCAGGACCGTTTTGATACAAACAACCATTGATCCATTTTGGAATAGTTCCTTTAGAAGAGAAATTGTTCGAGAATTCTTGATGAATGCAGTTTATGTCCTACCTGTTACTTTTCCGACGATAGGCTCGTCCGTAGTACTGGTGTCATCTACTGAACGAAACCAAATACCAAAATCACAGTTGGGATATAAGACCGATGATTCCATGGCTTGATAGAAGTGGTGTGTTGTGTTTGACTAGCTGCAAGAATTGCGAAAATGAAATGAACTAGAACTGTTTGTTGTCGCGGCATCTTATACATACTAGAGCGTAGGAGAATCTCGCCTGGGGGTAAAGAAAACGGTGTACTAGACTTGAAAGATGTGACATGATAATTTCCAGAAGGAAGAAAAAAGAATAGCTGATTAAAGCGTGCATGACAATTGAGCATCTTGTTTGTCGCATAATGAGTCAGGCTTGCGGAGTTATTTCTTTATATTTGACAAGCGAGGAATTAAAGACAATAATCAACTGATGACGAGTTTCCACACGTAAGAATTTGATCATTCTCTCAGAAATATCGTACTTTCAACCTTACCCTACTTCAGCATCAACTCAGCTATGTTTAAAGTCGTTCAATTCGCGAAAAACGATCTACGCGAATATTCTCGGCTATTTCGGTCACTGAAAATACTATGCAAATAAGTAGCTACATTTCGAAAGTTGACAAAAAGAACTGCATACATCTGAAATAGTATTCGATGAATTTTGATCTGGTGGCGTAACGCATTGAGTGGGAGCAGTCCGAAATAGTGCTACCTGTTTCCGTAGGTTGGCACCTGTAGTGCGCTCTTCATGAAAACAATATTAGCTCTTTTATTTTAAGTTTTTTCTTAGAGGGAACAAACAGACATAATCATAACGCTCGCGGTCGTTCAAGCATGTTGCTGAAAATGATATAATATTAATTACAAAGTTTATTTGTTAGATTATGCATTTATTAGATATTTTTATCATCGCGTTCATGACTTATATACAAAAGCAGCAAACAATGAGGCCTTTATGATTTCATCCAAAATCAGGGAAAACAGATTAGAAAATTTCTGTCAGCAAGTAAATTATATAACTGAATCTCGTCTAATATTAGTACACTGATTGTATACGATTGTTTCAGGCGAGTTCTTTTTTTCATATTAATCGTAAATCAAGATTATTTATTCTTTCTTTATTTTTACGTTTGACGAATTCGCACTTATATTACGTTCTATTTACGGCTAGAGTTTGAATGCGTGAGCGGAAACGAACGTCCTCATCTGTTTCTTTTCTGTCCTTTTTCGTTCATATTCGTCTCGTGTTTACCTCTTGAAGGATATCAATGATTCGCGTTTAGGCTTATTGTTAGCGACGTCTATCTAGGCTCGAATTCTTTTCTCATTCAAATCATTTAACGAACTAACAGAATGTCTTGCGAACATCCAGCCTGTTCGTCTGAAGCGCATCTAATTTGTTCATCTCACTGTCACTTGTCAGTATGTGAGAAGCATCGATTCGAACATGAAAGTGATCTTCGGAGTGAAATTGAAAAGCGATTGAAAGAAATTAACGATCCAATCTCGACAATACTTCTTCAAACACGACGAGAACTTGAACAGTCTGAAGAAGCTTGGCAGCGTGAATCAAAACAAGCCAACTCACTTTTCGACCTTCAGCAATCATCTATTGATCAACGCTTGAAGTTAATCGAGCAAACCAGAGAGTTGTTAACTAGAAAACGTGAGCATTTAAATCAACATAAAGCTGGTGAAATTCAGCTCACAAAAGAAGATTATCAAGAACTGGAAGTAGCTTTAAATCAAATAAATAAAGAAGATAATCAACCGAATCCATCGAGTATTCGTATTGTGTCACCATCGATAGATACTAAACCACATCACACGTCAACAGATGTTGAATATATCGAAATATCCGATTCCGAGTAAGAATTCGATAAGTGTTTTTCCTCTTCTCTCTCACAATCAAGTTTATTTCTAGCAACGACTCATCACCACCTACGACTCCAATCTCGACAAGTAATGAAAAACCACGCCCATCAACTTTACATCTACTCCGTGACATATGTCCATTGACAAAGTATGGTGTTTTTGGTCTGGAAAATGTACAAGATATCAAACGCTTTTGTCCGATTGACAACAAAATTCCCGTGTATCTTTACATTCACTTCATTCGAACACACAATATTCGACCATATGTCGCCACTCAATTAGTTCGAGCTCTTCGTAACCAGTGTAATCTAATGGAAACGAAAATCTTCACGCAAATCAATAAGCAAACCCTTCAATGTCCATTTAACAAAAGCGCTCTGAAATTCAACGAAGAAAACTGTATTCCAAAAACACCATGTTATTCTTTACTTGATCAAGATGATTTCAAACGACATTTACGTCAAGTTCATTCAATTACCAAAATGAACACCGATCTAATTTACGATGCGGTGAAAGAGTACGGAACAATCAGTCGTGTGCAATTCGAAGAAGATTTGTGTGAATAGGGTATCTTTATTCGATGATGAAAGATAATTCACACATTTTCAAGGAGATTCGACATATGTTGACTAGAAAAAACTAAAAGTGTGTTTTTTTTTCTTCATTACTCTTGAGAATGTGTGATAGATTGTTTTACCAATAAATCATACGTAGGAACTAGATAGTATCAAGGAACGAACTGTTAAATTATTCTTTGCCTGTCAAAGTAACACAATGACTTTATCTTAGTGGATGGCATCATCAACCATTCGAACTCTCATGCACTGATAAAATGAGGTTTAAAAGAGGGCGTTTTTTATTTTCATTATTATTTTTCTTGTGGAGTATGATTATTCAGAAAATTTTCATATGTAAGCCACGTATCAAGGAATTCCACTTGAAAAGAAGCGATTATCAAGATGTTCCTTGATTATTCTTTTGTTCTTCACGTAAGTTTCGAATCTTACGTTTAATATGAGCACCAGCATATTTTTCGTATTTGGCTTGCCATTTCGGTTCTCTCCACCAATCGAACTTCAATTCACCCTCACAGTTTTTCTCGCCACATTTACATACTAAGCCAGTCCATAAACTATTTTCTGAATCCATTAAACCATAATGATAAGTCATTTCTTCGCCAGGTTGAATATCTCGAATGGCGACGACAAGTTCTTCTTCATCACCACCGAAACCACAATTCGGATCACATGAATGATTAAACAGTAAGCAATCTTCGGTTGTTTCTTGCGTTTTATAATGACGCGGAACGTCAAAGAGATCATCGTCAAGCATGTAAGTGTAATACCGAATGTATTCAGCAGCTTCAGGATAAGCTTCCATTAGAGCAAGAACTTGAGCCTTTTTCAACTTGTTTGTCGGATCTTCGAGTCTATAATAATTACAATTGGGTAGATCACATGTAAAGACAGGTTCGCCAGCTCGAATTGGTTCGAGGGCGACCACACCGCGCTGTTTTTGTCCGTATTTCGAGGACAAATCCTGGACTTCCATCTTCTTGAGAAAAGGCATCGTATCTTGTCTAAAGTGACACTTTTTGAAACAATATGAAGACAACGAGAGAGAAAAGATGCAGATATTTATATGGAGAAAGTGACCTTGGCTGATAGAAAAAAATCAAAGTACATGCAGAATGATAAAAGAACACCTACATTATTTACGATCTAGCCTTTAGCCTAAATGAAAAAGCAACACATGTGATTTGGGAATAAAATTGAATAGAAAGCTAAGAATGATTCCATTTCATTTCTAATCTTTTTGATTATTCTACGATTGAGACGTAGATCGAAAGCTAAATCAGCAGAAAGACTGCATCTGTGAGAGATAAACATATGCAGGCCGAAGATATACTTATCAATATATTTGCTAGTACTTTTTTCATTCAACATCATTCTGGAGTTCGCGTAACATACAAAAAAAATGAAAACCCTGGGAACGAAGATGTCACACAAAAACCTGTATTCGTATACGTCTTGGAGTTAAACGTTAGGTTTGTAAACTAAAGACCGAATGTTCGAGTTATCGATGTGAAAATGTGGGATCGGTCTTGATTTCAAAGATCATCACTGACGAATACATATAAGTAACATCTGATAGACCGAATAATTTGTCGCAATTTAACTAGCGAGAGAGAAGAAAAACATAATAGCTCATGCCATGAACCCATCTATCGAAAGGGAAAGATGTCGCACTGAGAATAGAGTTCGAAGCAAACGTTGTCGTCAAGGAAGGTTTATTATCAATGGTTATTTAACAGAAATCGTTTGACTTAATTGTCAAAAACGAGTTCTGACAAGTAGTTTCATAATTAAATAGCTGCTGAAGAATGTCCACGCGTACTGGATCGAAACAAGGACGACCAGCGGCTAGATCCACAACAAAATCATCTAAAGATCAAAATAAAGGTGATAAACAAGCGTCGACTGTTATTGAAATTGTTCCTGGCAAATTTAATGAAACAGATTGGTTAACATTATTAGAAAGTGATGATACAGAAGATTTTATTGCTGGAATATTCGAAGACATTTGGACAGATGTATCCAAACAGATCCAACAATTACATGTGCAAAAACAACTATTACCATTTACACTGATGATTACAGAAAATGCTTTGTCCAATGTGATTCAGGTAACTTAGCAAGAACTAGGAAAAGGAAATCTGATGATAGACAATCGAATTTTCGTTTGATTTAGTGGGCATTCTTGGAAAGAGATGAACCGAATCCAACTTCAGGTACTTTTTGGACAGAGGATACAGGTAGACGAAGAGAATTTATTTGTTATTTCATTTAAAAATGCATTCTGATTGATCATTGCAGAACCGATACCGTGTCTTATGGATAATTGGGGTGAAGGCGTTGTACCAGCATGTCGTGAAGAACAGAATCCAATGTAAGTTTGATTGAATTTGTAATCATATTTAGTATTCGTTTGATTGTGTAGGTTGGAAGAGTCGCCTACACCAACGATTGGTCGTCCAGTATCAGCGCCTGTTAGTGTTTCCAAACACAAAGCTATTGGTCGAACTCAACGTCCGTCGACCGGATCATCTACAAATAGTTCAGCTCATACGTCACGTTCGGGTAGTCGATCGAAAAAGCTCCCAAAAATCATCGAATCTGTGGATAGTCAACATCAAGTCAAGCTTGATCCATGGACGCAGACTGATAATGATGAGCAAGCACTCAATCAGAACGAATCATCAACTGAACAAGAAATCAGTCAAACAAGCTTCGATAGAAGATCTTACAATCATGATGTACTCGTGATCCAAGCACAACCACCTAAGGTAATACATTGTTCATCAAAATCAATGATACCATGTCTTCACATCTCATCTTAAGTTGGAACCATTGACTGAACTGTTTGGTCCACTACGAATAGCAACAAATAGTTCATCGACTCAATCAATTCCACTAGCAGCCAATACAAAACGACGACCATTGAATGTGTCAAAAACATCATCACAATTTAGTTCGGATTATATTGCATCGGCCACAAATCTAAGTGATACAGCAAGTGTTAAAAACCACAGGAAACTTAATGAATCTAAAATATCTGATGAGCAACAGATCGAAGAAGCTATTTCGAAAGCTCCCGTCGCAGCACATGCAATACTTAAAGTATAAAATCCAGCACATTTACTTTCTGAATTTAACTCTTTCTACTTGCAGGGTATACTTAGTCGGCCAGCTGGTTACCGAGAACTTGACCTTGATCATAATGGTAATGTGATTTCCATGACAAAACTTGATCCAGATAAAATACAAACAAAAAAGTTTGATAAGATTAATTAATTTTCATTCTACCATTGTTTTCTATGTTTTCATACATCTAGTATACGTATGAAATGCGATATTATGAAATCACGAAAACCTGCAATAGAAGTTCGTCCAACACCAACTAAACAACCACCACAACTGAAAAGCGAACGATCACCATCGAAGTACGCGCCGGTCAAAGTTGGTTAGTTCATTTGGATTCTGCTCTGATTGAAGTGATCAATATCTCATACTTATCTTGATTGTAGTACTGCCGGAGCAATCGACTGAAGTGGGCGATCTCATTCAGCCAGTACCTGGCGTACTTTATGAAGATTCACGATTGAAAAAAGGCGATCCACGGCAATATCAGGTAAACATCTCCGTGCTTTGTTCGATATTCACTCCCTTGATTACTTTTAGTCTGGCATCTCGAAATACACGAACTATTTCGACGAAACTCATACATTAAAACCCATTGCTCAACGAAGTGATCTTGCCATCCTTCAAGTAGCAAATGATTTGTTACATCCGTCGAAAAACTACGACAGCGACGATGATGATAATGACCGAGATTCACAAATACCTAGATTGCGTAAATTCACTCCAATACCGCCGATTACACCTGAGCCAAATACGACTACAGCATAATAAAATTTACATTTTGTCTTTGCTTGAATCACATTCTTTTTTATTGACTTTTTTTTTCTTTTTCAAACAATAAATACATCAGATTTCTTTTTATCGATTATTAACAATATGAAAAAGCAATGCAAAAAAGATCCTTTTTTGTATACTAGTTATATAGCATTTCCAGATATTTTTTTTCGACAATCAGCAACAAGAAGAACATATGCCCATTGGAACAAAAAAAAATGATTAGTATCATTGCCTTCACAGCATATGTATAAATTGATTTTCTTGCTGTTCGGTATTCTACTTCCTATTCCGCAGAACTACAACTACTTTTGTAGGAAGAAGAAGAAGGATGATGATGATGATAGTTGCCTTGCATGCGTGTGTCAGTCACTTGAAACGCAAATGGCAACATTCTCCTACTTTTTCTTGACGTTATTGTACAACACAGAAATGTCTCCTTCAAAAATCACCCCCTTTATCCATCCATCCATTCTTCCCTCTTTACCCATCTTCTTTCATATCTTTTCTTTATGTCGCCATATCCGAGCGGCTGCTGTTACTGCTGCTCATGGGTGATGTCAATCATCGTTGTGCAAATAACACGTACACAATACAACAAGAATAGAGGACGAGTAACAAGAGAGAAGGCAAAAAGGGAGGGCTGTTTCTGTTGTTGTCTTTTTCAATGGATTAATAGTACAATACACATTTGCACATCTCAAGCAATACATGTATATTTCACACTTTGTCTCTTTCTCTGTCTCATTTATTGTTGTAGGAATGCGCTATCTCGACTACAGTAGTTGCTATCCGTTGTCAACGGATGATGACGAGAGAAGAGCGAGGCGAGGATGTTTATGAATGCATGCTCGGTCAAACCTTGAATGATGAAAGAAGTCAGAAAAGTAATTCAATCAACTGTTATACTCAAAGAAAGAAAATTACAGAAATGGATGGGACTCTGATAGCATTTTTCATATCGCAGAAAGAAATTAAGCAAATCAACACAACGGATATCCACATATCGTATACACGCAAAGGATAAAGAGAACTATTTGAAATATAACAACCGAGAATCAGTCAAGATTTGGCTTTGTTTTTTGGGCAGTTTTCATACATCATATTGAGTGATGAATTGCAGTGTGGACGCTCACGTTCATCGGAAATCATTTTGATAAGAAAGTACATATTCATCTCTAGTATATGCTTATGTATATATAGTCAAGTTGCCTACGTCAATGAGATGAGAGGAATCATGCGGTTTTTTTCACACCCACCCACTCATTCATCCATTTTATTCGGTAAGAAAAGCAAATTTCTGTTGATGATTTGGCCATCACTCATTACTCCATTATGCATTATACATGCTGTGTTGGATCGCTAGATCCTATTTATAATGATAAGAACGAACGGTGATTCTAGTAGTAGTAGTCGTCGTCGTCGTCATCATCATCATCATAATCATATCGTTATAGCTACTGCTGAGAAGAAGGAAAATCCATTTTCTTCTCGTTGTTCTGTTCCTTCCCATCTCTTTCTTATTCTTCCTCTTCTCCTTCTTTTCCTCTATCAGTAAGTAGAACGGACGTCGGTCTATCAAAAATGTTGATCGACTCGCATGTTTGTCATCTCATTTCAGAGAACGCACGACTCGCACATATATACATGGCGTTTAGGAAAGAAACAATCTTCCAAGGGGCGCGCATATATACACATCAAGGATCGCCCGTATATGCTAGTGACGAAAGTCAGCGCAGTGATGTAATGACGTGTACAAAGAAGAGAATTGTGTGAGAGACAGAGACAGACGAGATGGAGAAACAGAAACATACGGAAAGAGAGAGAGAGAGATACGGGAATTGTACAAAGCGACAACGAGTGCTACCAAAAAAAGCGCAAGATTATGCAAGTCACTCGGAGAGAACGAGAGAAATAGAAAGAGATCAGAAAATATCTTGTTGTTGTTGTTCTCATCACTCTACTAAAGATCGAGCGCGTTTGCGCACATCTAGTCGTCATTTTGGCTTGATATTTGATACGGAAAATGTATCATCCTGGAGCGTTTCTATTCTACTAACATTATCGCCAGGAGAATAGCAGCATGAATATCACAACGGCAACCATCACACTCATCATCACCACTCATAAGTGAAATAAAAACCAAAACGATATATTTACGTATATACATATACACACACGCAAAGAGAAACAAACAAACAAACAAACTTAAAGGTCGTTTGGTTTTTCATTGTAAATTGAACTAATCAAACTTCTTTCAACATGTACATATTTAACAAAAAAGCAAATCGATGTGCTTTATGCTATGCGCTCTTATCGACGAATCCACGTAATACTGGTTACTCATCCTTAACTAGACGATGTGCAAGTCGTTGTCCTGTAGCATCTCTCGAACGGCTGATCTCCTCTTCCCACAAATTCGAACAATTATGGCATGAGAATGAACATGGGCTTATTAACAGCCGTTCGATATGTTTTCGTTGTTGTGAAACGATTCGGCAACTTGAACAGGTTCGAACTGATATGGAACAACTCGATCATGACAAACAAGTTTTACTTAAAAAAATTGAACATAGTCTTTCAAAACGAGCACTGATTGTACAAGGTCAACGACAACGAATGAATGGTCACAACAATAATCATCAAGTAAATTTTCCGCGTTCTCGTTTTTCTATTCGAAAGATTTATTTGCAGGATATGCCATTATATGAAGATGATGATACAGAAGAAGGCGAAGAAAAACCTCGAACAGTAATCAAAACAAATGGATATGGCCACTCATCACCTTTCATGCCCGTACCAGCGCCACCGCCAACGACATTGGTTGGTGCGAAACGTCGCAAATGTAATGTAGCACACAAAATTAATCTTGAAGATAAAGTAAACTCATTTTAGAAGATTTGAGTCCATTGAACAGTACCTCTGTCTTTATTCTTTTAGAATGTGGAAGCATCTTCTGCCTTGCTTAATCATTCTCGACGATCGAGTAAGCTTTAAACTTTGATTAACTGACATCGAGTATTTTCACTTAATATTTCCAGGTTCGCCAATTAACAACCATCCAATCACGAAATTCTCGCCTAGTCTCATATTCGGTTCACATTCACCTAAGCATCAGCGATCGAATCTATTCCCATCTGCTCTCAATGGCCATGATCTTTCATTTGGCTCTTCAGCATCGACAACAATACCGCCCTATCTGGATCCAGCCACTGGTGCATTGATCGCCATTGTTTCAAATCCACATCACGCCGCGTTACTTGCTCAACAACATCAGCAAATATTGAAATCTTCATCAATATCACCATCATCGACGAATACTATGGATGAGCATGAAGTCGCTCCAGCAAAACTGACTCCGCAGCCGAAGAAGTTTCCGTGTCTCCTCTGCGGCCGTGATTTTTCAAACAAGTCAAATCTCAATCGTCATCACAGCATCGTTCACGTTGCCATCCGAAATTTCGAATGTGCACGTTGTCCGAAAAAGTTCAAATTACGACAAGGTTTGAAGACTCATATGCAACGATGTCATGGAGTCAGCACAGATGAGCCCACATTTGTTTTACAAAAACATCATTTACATAATTATCATCGTCATCATCATGCTTCGTCCTCATCATCATTTCTTGCTCAAACGAATAAATAAACACAGGTGCTACTGGTTTTTTTCTTCTTCAGTTCTTCGTTTTGATAGTGTTGTTTTCTTACTATATTTCTTCTTCGTTATTTATTCAATAACAAAAATAAATTTTACTCTAATTTTATCACAGAAATCAGTATATATATACGTATGTCTTATCTGCGTTAGTTTGTTATTGATTATGTGCTAATCGGACGGAAAAAAAGAGAGCAAATCTGTGGAATAAATGCACCGCGAATAGAAGAAAAACTCATGCTCTTCTCGATTGTATACAATATACTTAGCGGACAAAAAAGGAATAGGAATTATTCGACGAAATGCATCTCGCACAGCTATTTTACAGTAGAGAAAAAGTTCCAATTCAACAGAGAAAAACATACTAATAATTGATAGGTACATATCAATCAAGAAGTGGATATTCTATGAACGACGACTTATGTTTTGTATAATCTGTGTCAAATATCACTGTCATCTTCCAAGGCTTATGTTGATGTCAGTAGATTTAACATAAGCACAAGGTTCGAATACGACTGTTGCCATTTGTAAAATTACAAATTATGATTTGTTGTATATACACAGTGCATTCTAAAATGAAACTCTCATGCTGAATCTACAAGACTCTGACATTATTATTGGAAAGCATCAGCCGATGCATAACTTGAACATCAAATTGGGTAAATTACTCAATAGTTTATTTCACTATTAGAACGTGTATTATCATTGGACATCTTTGTTAAGAGTGTAGATTATAGACCTCAGATAAGAAAGAACGTTTTACACACGAAACTGATACTCTTGGAATGTGTCTATTCGGTGTGTAATAGATCTTTCTCAGCATCTGAATGTTTTTCGGTAAGCCAAATACTACAAGGTTAACACACATGGTCAAAGGAAACTACCTCATGCGTGCTAATGAATTATTCAATGCTTGTTTAGAGTATATGCAGTCCTTCGATTTGACTACGTACCACGTTCATGACGATAATCATCGACGAGTGATCATGAGCTCTCATCTCTGCAATATGCAGTATGCCATTTTTCTAAGAAGATCTATTCTTCTCTTCAATCTACTGTATGCATATTTTCTCTATCGATCACTGATCCATTTGCTAAATTCGACCATAGTTATTCAATGTATTATTCCTTACTTCAGTGACATCAAACAATTAGATGAATCAGTTAAGTAAATCAAAGTTTCATTGTTCAGATGAGTCATTAGGGAAATCATTGAAAGCGACATATTTAATCTGAAACGGAAAAACAACATATTACAGTTGAGTATTTCACTTGAACCTATTTCATTATCTAGTGTTCGATCTTTCAGCTTCCGTCTGAGATTAAAATCAAAGTCTGCGCGAGCAAAGCTATTCTGCTTACAAATAGGAGAAGAGCGTTGAAATAGTTACTTGAATTCCAGAAGAAGAAATTGTTTTTTCTCTCAAGTATAATAAACAGTTCTAAGCAAAAGATATTATCAATAACCTTTTGACGTCATTCCACATATGGAAATGGTAAAAAGTAAATTAACAGAAAAATAAACAGTTCCATTGCGTAGAAAATCAAGACGGTAAAAAAGTACATCTCAATTATTCTTCGAGTAAACAGATACGCTTTTTTCGAAGTCTAATCTTTCGATTGAATTCTTGAAGAAATATTTATGAAACTTCATCGTTATTTGATCGTTTACATATCAGATCTGTTTCATTATCTTGACGTGTAAGTCGATACGAAAATGAAATTCTCGTCAACAGAAATGAAGTGATATTCTCTCGTTTGCATTTTTTTGGGTGATTTTTGTTCCGATATAATAACAACAAAATAAACTTTCATGAGAAAAAAATCTCTTTCATACAAACACACTTTGCTTATGTCATCTAGAGTGCAAAAGAAAACAAACAAACAAAACTGAAAGAACAAAGATGAGATAGAGCAAAAAATAGCTTCAGAAAAAAAACCGCTAATATTCATCGTCTGAGTTCGGCATGTTCCAGTTTTTTTTTCTGTTACGATTAATTAAATATGAAGAAAATGAAATAAAAATAATAATTTCGTCGATCACTGTTGCACAGCTACATACAGACATTGAACAATATCGTTGCATCATATACCATAGAGAAGACAGACAACATGTCATTGCATATACAGGAAAAATACATCGAAGAAAAGAAGAAAATATATAGACATACAAGTACAAAAGATGATCGACTATTAGTGAGAAAAAGAAATATGTCCAAGCAGTCAATTGCCGTGCAGCAACATGTCGCTACAAACCGGAAAATTGCATAGAAGAAAACGACAGAATACTTGGATTGATCATATTCAAGTATGGATGCGGAGAAAGATGTTCTGTGCTGGTCGTAATAAATACTTGGAGAAAAACAAGACCTTCTTTCATACGTGTGCATATGGTAATAAATAAAAAGAAAACGAAGAGAAAACGACAATGAGTTGAATGAATAATACACGGATTAATGAGTAATGAGAATTCCACCGATTTCGGAAGCAATTCTATGAGTACGGAAATGAGGAGAGGCAATGGAAGAAAGATAGTTTTACCTAGAATGAATTAAAAATTCAGCTAATTGGATTTGTTCAGGTGTGCCAGAGATAGTCACATGACGATCTTGTGAACCTTCATCTAAATCAGCTATTTTTATATTTGCTCCCGATGCTTGCCTATAAATATAAGAGAAAAATAAGCGATTAATTCACATTGACTGCACTTTCGTTCGAGTTTACCTGATCTCCGAAATCTTTTGTCCACCTCGGCCGATGATGCAGCCAATAAGATCGTTAGCAATTGTGATCTCTCGTTGTGTTTGCAAAGGCGGACGATTCGGTGGAAGACCATTTGGTAACAAAGGAGCTGCTAGATAATAAAAGACAATGTGTGGTTATTTTCATCGGCATTCTGCATCACTCGTTTTTATCATACGAGATTTCTTTTCGAACATTATCTTCTCATTAGAAAAAAAGAATCAAATCAATTGACTCACCAGCTGACACAGGCACACCCGGTGCGAGAGGGGTTAATGGTCCAAACGCATTTAACTGAAAGACATTAAAAAGTAACAATGTTACTTGTCGTTCTTCTTTCGAATCAGAAATCATTTGCTCTTTTACCTCATTTGGTGGAAGAGGAATCGCAAATTGACCTTGCACTTGATAAGCCTGTCCATTAGCGAAAATGATTGGTGCATGTACGGGTGATATCATCATCTTTGGTCGGTAGGGGATCGTTTCACCTTTAGGTGGCGACTGCTAAATGAAGAAGAAAAACATCTTCGATATCGATTAAAGAAAGAACTTTCGCTACTTCGAGCATAATTTGGCATATTTGTCGGAAACATGATTCAATAGAATCAAGTTTGCCCGATATAGTTACAGCACGTTCTGTTGATGTTGGTAACATTTCAGATGCAACCTGGACTGATGCACCTGTCGTCTATAAAAAGAATACTAAACGGTGACAAATCAAAGGCAATCTCGCTCGAGCACGAACTTCTCGAATTTCTTTGATTTTCGCACCACCTTTACCGATAATTGAACCACACTGACTTGCTGGTACAACAAGTCGGAGTGTGATAGGAGGAATCGTTGTACATGTTTGTTTCAAATCCTGAATAAGTCCAATATAGACTAGTCAGTAAAATTCATCTACTGAATATTTACATCTTCGAACTTTTGACAAATCATTCCAAATGCTTTCGATAACGTTTCAATCGTCCCAACCATGGTAACAATACGTTCTGGTGTGGTACCATCACTAATATTGATACGAGCACCACTCTAGAACACATCATATTGCTTGACTAGTGAAGCTCTTATTTTTCAAAGATTATTTACTTCTTCTCGGATTGCTTTGATGTTATCACCACGTTTTCCAATAATACTTCCGACTTCCTGAAATCAACCAGAAAATAAATCATCTTCGATTACTTCGACTAGTCGTTTACTTTTCCCTGCATAAGCAAGCGAATAGTGAGAAAATGGTCAGGTTCATTTGCTGGTTTAGAATTTGCTTGCTGTAGTTGTAAAGTATTACTGATGTTCTGTGGATCTGTTGTATTCTCCATCATCGTAACTTATGCTTCAATCTTGTATGTTGATTTGATTAGTATGAGGGACAGATTTTGTAGGTGAAAATCAAGGGTAGGTAGGTCGTGAAAATGTGTAAAAAAAGAAGAAAGAACGAAGGGAGAAGGGTACCTGAAATGAGAAAGCAAAGAAGTGAAGAATTTTCGATACACTGTCTCTAGTGTAAAGTAACGTTTTGTCATCAACTGATTTCTTTTCGTCGAGTACATATTTTGTCGCAATGAAGAGTCTTGATTTTCTTTTTTATTCTATATCGAGTACTCTTCTCTCCTTTCCGGATGTAGTGCCGTCAGAGAAAAATTGAAGCGAACTATTGGCATCCATAACTAGTTGTCTCGTTCGTCTTTTTTTCTCTCTCTCCTTCTTACATATAATTGCTCTCGGTTCTCTCTTTTCTCCTCTCTCTCTCTCGCGTTATATTTTTATTGAAAAACTCTAGAGAGATCCATGAATATTTTACTATCGGTATTCGTTGTTAGATGCTTTTCTTTCTTATTATACCATGAATAATTCATTATGACATGATCGGTGAACGATTAATTCTCTTCCTGAGCGGAAAAGCGATTTTTTTCCTTTTCAGCTCTATTTTCTTTTACTTGTCGGACTATCTTATAATCATCAGGCTATTCTATTATCATTCTTTCAAGAGCTCTCGGTCACTTTGACTATTCCTATTTATCCTACAAACGATTATGGAGAGCGGAATGAAGGAAAGAAAGAAATCTGTAATAAATTATCTCAATTCGACTCATTCGCAGTTAGTTTCCTTTTGAAGAGATGTACTCTTCTACTTACACAACATATGCTCAGCTGTCGACAACAATAAACAGACTATCGAGAGCGAGCCGAGCGAAGAGAAGAACTGAGCGCATCGAACAGAACAAAACAGAAGAAGAGATTTCAGTCGATGATATATCGAACTAATTGACAAAAAAGTAGTGAGTAAACAGTAATTTTCCCTCGAAATGTTGTTAAACACTTCCTATACGATATTTAACATGAATAAATATTTAGAAAATTGCTCCGTTTTCTTCTTCAATTATCCATATTCTTTTAGTTACCGATCATTCGCGTATTTCGCAGTCACAACAGCATTACTTATTCTTTTATCTCGCTAACAATATAGTAAATTGTCTTCTTTTGCTGATCAAATGGTCACATTCATTTGATGCGAAGGACGAAAAGAAAGCTGTAAATCACAGATCAAAAGAGAATTATCATCTATCACAAGATAACTATAAGAATGCGAAACACGGATGTTTAGTGACCTCAATTAGTCGATTGCGTGACTTGAAAAAACATGTGTATCGTTCATCGTATGCATGTGCGTGATGTCAATTAGAAAATAACAAGCTCACCGTAGGACATGAAATGGAAAATACTATCTAACAATTACTATAAAAAGAAGTCGATAACGAAAAGATTTATTCTAACAGAAAATCTGAAGGATTCCAAATCATACGATGAAATGTTAGCTCCGCTGATTAATTGTGACACGGAACTCGAAGAGAATGTTCTGTAACTTATTTGGATAATGCGATTGAATCGATGATTCATAGTAGGACGAGATTCGAAAATAGTCTTTTGACTTCTTCTTCTTTGGCCCCTAACTAATTTGTCTTCTTTTTTTACTTATATCCGTCATTTTTCTTCGAGTCTAAATGTGTCGTGCATTTGACGTATATACGATGTTGTGAACGCTAGAAAAAAACTCTCAACGAATACTAATCTCTCGTCTTTTCTTTGCTCGTTCTCTCTCTCTCTCATTTCTCTGACGATCATATAAGAGGCGTTCGGAACTGCGGATGAGCAGTATAGGAGCTTGCCTTCGACATCTAATAGTCGATGAATGATAAGAAAGAAGAGAATCATCTTCCTTCTAACGACTGTCACATCAACATTAGAACAGTAAAATCAACGATGTTCAAAGAATCTAATAAGATTATATACAACGACAAGAAGATGAATGCTCATTCTCCAAGTCTAATGAGAGACTTAGACTATCGAACATACAGTTCCGTATAAATGTATACTACACTAGTATTAGCATACACACATTCTCCCTCACTATATGAAAGCCTACGCATCTAGACAGGAAGTAATCTTAGAACAAACACTTTTTTCAAAATGTAGTTTCCTGCACTACTTAGAACGGGATGGGAGAGAAAGACAGAGAGAGAGTGAGAGGGATGATGATCGTACACCCACATAGTTCGGTAATATGCATGGATCATAATTGGATTGAGAGCATCATCTATTTCTTTTATTTATGGCAGAACATGAATATAGATAGGTCATTACCTGTACAAGATGCACGTAGAGATGAATGGAACACGTTAATCGAAGTCAAAATCTGAAAGAAATGAGACTACTGAAGATTATTATTAAATATGTAAAAAAAAAGAAGCAGCAGACATAGCAGCTGGAAAAAAGAAGAAGAAGAAGAAGAAGAAAAGACGAAAGAAGAGATAGACAAAAAAGCAAGACAGTCCAGACCGTTAATCAACATCTCATCTCTCTGTTTCTCTGTTTCTTCCTCCTTTGTCGTTCTCTCTTTCTCCCTGTCTTCAGCCTCATCTTGTGCTAATTCTACTGCTACTCATAGTGATGCTTTTTCTATTGTCAGAACAATTTTCATCTTAACGTTATACATAGATACTGCTGTTCGCACAAGCGAAAGAGATTCTATTTATACGATCATCACTGATGAACACACGGAAAGACAAGAAGGAATTCTCTCCATGATAAATAATCGATAAGATGTACACATGAGTCGTTTGAATTTGAAAACTCTTCGCAGATGTCTCGTCTGATGTGCTGAGAAATGACAAAACCAGATCTTGAAATATCATATATCTAACAGATTCTTGTGTTTATTAATATTGTCTCTGATTTGCATATACATATCTCGCAATCTCGATAAAATAAAACGAGAAGACGGAATTCTCAATGGAACATTTACTTGTGAAGAAAGACAAGAAAGAAGATGATAGTTTTTCAATAGTAGAAAAGATGTCAAATTTACTTATTGTTATTGTCACAATGAAGTATGAAAGACATGAAAATAGAAAACTTGTCTCTTGTCTATACAATATAAATAATGAATGAGAAATGAAAATGGCTTGTATCACTGTTGAGTTATTTCTGATGTCTGATTAGAATGAGAAGTTTTGCTGTGCAATTGCGCACACACAATTGTCAATTATCTCGGTATTTCATATATGGATGATGGTGCCGATGAAATTGGCATACGCAGCCGAAGGGCGGCCCGATAGAAACAAACAAGTAAGACAACTTTAGTCTTTCTACCTACAACAAGGCAAATCCAATCAATTTCGGAATGAATTATTCCGACTGGTATATTTTGTTGTCTTAACATATATTTATATACGGAATGCCGATAAATCGCTATCGATCCATCTCGTTTTACAACCTTAATCTGATACTTGGCACATCTATTAGAAAAATGACAAGAAAAATATGAAGAAATTGTTCAGACATACTTGCACCAAAACGAACGAATACGAGGAGGAAAGAATCTCAGAAGGTCTGCGATTTTCCTGCTAATGGTTCGCCGAAATCAATATCGAAGAAAGATTTTCCTTCACGTTCTTTTGTCTCGTGGCTCTTTTTAGTATAAGCAACGTGGATGAATATTAGTCTGAATATTATTTGTTATTGTCGTCTTGGTTGGTGTCGTAAAACATGAGAGAAAAAAAAATCATTGGTACTAATGTCTATTCGAAGGCGTGGGCAATGTGTGCCAAAAAAGAAATAATAGGAGGGAAAAAAAACGAGAGAACGAACGAGAGAGAGAGAAAATAGAATATGCCGTTACTGCTACTAATATACTATATTGCTCGATAGTAACGAAGAATTTCCTCGACAGTGTTTGGATTTGTATACTGTTTGGTAAAAGAATCATTTGCCTGACAAAAAGAAGAAGAAGAAGAGAAATCAGTACACTCGAGTTTTTCGTGTTGTCTTCGACATCGTGTCTGTCTGTCGCATTGTTGTTTCATTCTACTACGAGAAAAAAACGACAGATCATCTGAATACGCAAACAAACATGTGTATGCATATGTATATATACAGGGATGTTTGCTCGAAGGGTTTGTCAGTGGGCGATTGGAAAGACAGACAATGTGACAAAATGCAATACTCGTTATTGGTACTCATCTTATCCATCTTTTCTTTGCATCAATTTGTTTTTAGCTTACAGTATTGAAATGCTGAAGTAACTAAGCAAATGCGTTTTCTTATTGAGTGGGACTCGTAAGAACGAAGAAGACATTTATATTTCAAACAATCGCTAGAGAAGACCTATTTTTATCATCATTGTTTTCATTTCTATCATTTTGTGTGCTTATGCAAACACCCGCATGTACTTAAATAAGATGACAAGATGCGAAGTGTAGAAAAGGAAATACACTAATCATTTATGACTGTGTTGGCATGTAAAGATATCCAAGTAACAAATGATGAGAATATCTCGAAAGACCGCTGATTTATTCGAAGACATGTCGAGTTACGGTTGTTTAAATGCTCTCTGTGAAATCGTGATATGTATTTAATGGGTTAAGTCAATCGAGGGTGGCGACTCTCCAGTGTATGCGTATGTTGTGTCATTTATCATCTTCGAGTGGTAGCGATTAGAAAACAGCGCGTTAAGCAACAGACGACATTTCATCGATCATCGATAAATATAACAAGAAGACGATTCGACCTTGTCGATCGTACCCAGAGACGGGTGATATCAATATTAGGAGAGAACAAACTTCTTCGTATACTCGACATATGAAAATGTCAGCTCATAATAAGATGATGAATTGTCTAATTGGCATGACAATGATTTATAATACAGTAACTCTGCGACAAAGGAAGAAGAAAAAGGATATGATCGGTCTATTTAATGATGTGTAAATAAATATTAGCAACAAAAACTATTTGTTATTTACGAAGGAATTCGAACGATAAATTTTATTTGAAGGGTCCTATTCAACTACGAAATTCGTGTTAAGTACTTTATTCTTCGACTGAATAGTATCGATCTGTCTGTTGTATAATTAAACTTACTTTTCCTATCGACAGTTGAAAAGTTGTGAATCGCTTGAATACGATTTGTTCGAATTTAAGATGTTTAGGTTGCTTTCTACTGTAATGTTTGCTAAAGTGAGTGTGAAAAGTATCGTTCCGTCGTTGATTTCAATTCTGTCGTCTGCAAGTTGTGTGGCGATTGATTTAAAGGTATACGGTAGATATATGCATACGAGCTCAACTATTCAGATGTTCGTTCTGGTTTCTTCGAGATCAAAAAAACAAAGCTATGAATCTTGTAGATTTTCATTCTGACATGAAAAACTAGAAGAAAAACAGATTGTTTGCGAGAAATATTTCGAACAGTTATTGTCTCGGTAGACTTTTTCTTTGCCTTCGTTATATAGTTAACTGACGAAGAAGGTCGAAACGATCATTATCAGTCTCTTGTTGACATGATCATTTCTAATGAATGTATATAAATATCTCAGTGTATATACTGAGAAAAAGAGATGACATCGACACCCGCAGTTCGAATATCAATAATCAATGAATGACATTATACGATGGAATATCGTGAATTCCGTATGTACATTTATTAAAACGATGTGAGCAATAAATGATTGTAAACATAACGCGATGGATCAAACAGTCATTTTCACGACCTTCGGTATCAAAGAAAGTCCATAATGATATTGCGACGATATTTTTTGGAAGTATTCGAAAGAATCTTAGACAGTGGATATTATTCTGTATTGCAGAGCGAGACACAATCTTATAAAAAACTTATCTTCAAACACTAAGAAGTTAAAGCTGATCAAAAGCAACTTTGAAGCGAAATTATTGATTCCGACGAAGCCAGCCTTTGTTTAAATAACGTTTTCGAAATCTTTATTTGTCCTGAAAAGTCATACTACTTTTTGTAACTATCCTTAAATTTGATATATAGCATTATCATCAATCAACATTGGCCTTTTCTTTAAGTTATTTTTTTTTGTAATAGATCAAATAGAAAATCGATCTCTACATAATAAGTTTAACATTCGTGCATGATGCCATAATAGAGCAGTCGCTTGACATCATTTACAATCAGGTCATGATGCATGATTGTAAAAGTAGTAACCATTCATCTTATCCATAGATATTTTAGAAACAATCTTCTACACATGTCTCAATCTATTATTTTGCGGTTTCAGACCAAACAAAATAAGCGAATTGTAAACTATTCACAAGCATGCAACTCAAAAGTGATCGTTGCGCTATTGATCCCCATTATATTCTCAGTTTGGTTATCCTTCTCCCTGATAGATTCATCATATGTTGTTTATTGCTATGACATTGCATTAACTTTTCAATTCATGTTTTCTTTTTCAACGGGTCAAATTGCCATTTGTGATTTATAGACACCATATAATTTCCTTAGAAATAAATTGTGAAATTAACTCGCATTTCATACGTATTGCGTTGATGAATATCATAGAAGTAGAAGAAGAAGACGAAGAAAAAGGAAACACAGTTGGGGTTGGGTTTTCTTCGCCTAAATTACCATCAGGAAGAATAAACATGTGACATGAATCAAGAACGAAGATGAACATTAGGAGAAATCTTCACTTCTTCTCTGTAAACATTGAATACCACGCCTACTTGATCAGGAAGAGTCTGAGTGTTCGTATACTAAAGTAAGATTGCGGTGAAGGCTGTTTTTTCCCAATCAAACGAAAACAAAGCGTTAAAATCGGAAAGAATGAGTTATTTTTGCCTTCTATTCGAGCACTTTTCATCTCTTAATTGGAAAGAAGACGAGACGTGCGGATGCGTTGTTGTCTTAAGCAAATATGAAAGTTTTGCTTCTCAGAAGAGATGACTTTTTTTTTGTTTGTCGAGAAAAGAATGCATCGAAAGTACGTAAGATGTGTTTTTTCCTCTTCGTATCACATCATTGATTTGATCGATGTAATCAATGCTTAATATGAAATTAAGCGTGTCTATTTATTTTCGATTAGTCAATTGAATTAATATCGAGGATTTCTCTTCCCCCTTCTCTCTCAATACCGAGAGAAAGCAGAAAATCCGTTCATTGAGATTGAATACGAGACTTGACTAAAAGACTAATCATGTTTTCCGACAGTTTATCTATAGGATGGATATTAAACCATCTCTTTCGTTCTTCTTGAGAGGAATCTCTTTTCTTCTATGCTTTTGGATACTTCAACTCGAGACTGCCAGTAAATTAAATGCCTTGACAAACGAGAAAATCTTCGTAAAAAAATGGACGACGAGAAGGAAGAGGAAAGCACGGATCTTGATGGAAAAGGAAGAAGAAGAGGATCGAGAGAGACGAGAAGTAGAGAGAAAATCAAATGAAATCAAGCTGTATATATTGAGCAGTGATCCCCCGCTTCTGATGTCATCGTTTCAAACGTCGACAACTGACGAGCAACACAAGTTTCATACGACTATCAAGTCTTTCTATTGGTATCTTACGATGATATTCTTTATTTACTAATTCTAGATTATAATAAGAAATGAAACTCTCATATAGTCTATTCATATTTGCCAGTTGTGTATTGGTGCTTGTTTTTCAAATAGCATGTTTAGGTAGGGAGAATATTGTTGCTTTTTGATAAAGAGATTCTCTTCCAGATGCAGCTGCATTGCCCAATGAGAAATCCGCCATGGTTGAAAGTAGTGCAAGTGATGAAAATGATGCATCCGTACGAAACAAAAAGGAAGCAAATGGAATAGCACCACAACAGACCATTCCTGTACCTCTTCGTCGTCATCATTTAAAATTTGGTGTTTTAGGCAAACGCTATGCCTATGGCTATTTGGGTAAACGCACCGAAGGTAAACATAAACGTGATGACTATTCTTTCGAATCACTTCGTTCTTCGTCATTCTAGTACCAGAATTCGAAGAAGATTTTGAAGACTGGCTAAATAATCTTAGAGAACGCCGTGCCGGCCGACCACAATATGGCTTATTAGGCTGACCTATGTTGTACGTTGTACAAATCCTTTGAAATAAACACTTCTCCTCTCATATTTATTCTAATCGTTGTTCCTCTCGGCGTCTATAAGCACATGCTATTCGATGAATAGATTTCTTTTTATTTTATGGAAATTAATACAATAGCTATGATGTGTCTAAAGAGTACACTCATGAATATTAGATATCATATTAATATTTGTTTTCGTCGAATATTTCATTGGTAAACATGTCCGTTGACAAAATTAAAAATGCATAAACTCTTGCGGATACGGAGAAAACAACTCATATGAAATCAATTGTGAAAGTATTTCACCAAAACACAATCTCGAAGAGAGATTGATTTTCTAGAAGTGTTAAGCAAAGTCTAATCTGAGTTCATCGTTCATGCTCACTAAAGATCTTGATCGTATTTTCCGTTCGTGCGAAGTTGTCTGTGCCAAACAAACATTCTCGAGATTTCACCAATTGACTTCAAAGAAGAGTGTTTTGAGAAAAACTTCCACAAGGTGTTTCATATGCGAAACTTCTTCCTAGATGAAATGACAATTGTCAGGTCAGCGTTTGACTCTCAGTAGTTGTAGAAAGACAATCTATTGAAGTTCATGCGTAGGATTGAAAAAGAGAATCCTAAGGGAATTTTTTTATTATTCTTATTTTATAGACGTCTTATTTTCTTAGGAATACAATCGTTGTCAAAAATTCTTTTATAGGAATTATGAAATAGAATATAAAATGATATTCTACTTGTCGACAAGGCTTTGTTGATTCATATCGAACTTCATTGAATCACTGAAACATGATTACAATCTTTCAACAGACAGAAAACATTGTTAATTGCAATGTAATCATCAGCGATATTCCACGGCTGCTAACTGACGATAAGTTTAATGCCGCGCATTGACGTCGATTCTGGAAATGAGAAATAAAGTATAAATGTCAGTGTCTGAAACGTTTTCACTAATGACTAGTCATCATAGCATGAGAGAACAGATTATAGCGAATGTTCTCATAGCGCATTGAAACTAATAGTTCGTTGACCTCAGTTTTGTCAGATTGCTTTCAACTTCTTAGAATACACTCAGAAAGTTGATTCTCTCCCTTCACTCCGTGAATACAATTCGAATGGAATGACCCTTAAAGAAAGTTTTCTACAATCAATTGGTTCATTGGGAATCGATAATAGGTTTAGCAATCAAACATTTATTTATTCGGAAACGAAAAGAAAATATGCATGACCAAACAGAAGCGAAAGCAAATAGAAAGTTTTTTTTTCATGAACGTCCTCCGTTGATGAGTGGCTGCTATTTTCGATCAGTGTATACCTGAAATGAGAGAAAGAAAAACATTCCGCTTCGCTGACTAGCTGCAATCTGGATTATACTTTGCCAATCGCGATCATGAGCCGATCGATTTTCTCTGGAAATTCCGTCACTGGATTTTTAGTCTTTTCCAGCTCATCTTTGTATGATTGCAGGCCTGAAGAAAAAAAAACATCAAGACTAGCTTCCTTTCGTCTCCAAAAGAAGGAGTGTCTATGTACCTAGCCAACGCTTCGTTTTTGTCGTCATAAATTGAATCAATTCCACTTCATTCTCCTGTTTTAATTGTTCTTGCCGGAGCTTATTGAAATTATCCACGATGATCGAAATAAACATATTACTCAACATGAAGACACCCAAAAAAACGAACAGAAATAAGGATATACCTGCGATGAAGGCGTTGAGATGTGATAATTCGTATATAGTCGTGAAGTGCAATGCAATCATCTCGAAACATGACCAACTTGTTTCTGACCATGATGAATACTCCTTGACGTAAGCATGGAATAGAAGATAGTACAATGACACGAAAGCGATGAAGACAATCGAAAACATTAGGAGAAAACCGAGAAGTTGTCGCGCACATCTTTTCAATGTTAGATGTAATAGTGATAGACGACGATTGAAGCGAAGGAGACAAAGTCTAAATATATTTGAGCTAATCAATAGAGTATTTTTATATGACTGACACTTACAGTTTCAATGTACCGAAGAAACAGCAGAATCCAAGAAGATAATTAAGAAGATTGTCCAAATACGAGAAAATTTGAAGATTAATTGGCTTATGTCCTTTGGTTTGTGTTAAAGTCTTGGCCATTTTCTTCATTTCTATTTGTCGGAGAACATGTATCACTATTCCAAACCATGAACAGACAATAATCCCCCAATTGATGTATGACCAAAACTGTTTCACATACTTTTGACGTGTTGACAAGAATAATCTGACTTCTATTACCATATAATAGATTATCAAAGCTAAATAAATGAGACAATAGATGAGTTCAGTTCCCGTGTACAATTTCACAAGTTTAAATGGCTGAAATGATGCTTGAAAGGTGATCGTTTTGGTTACTGGTAACTGTTCCAGAAGAAACGAACAGTAGACAAATAGATTCGCATCGGGATTGTACAAACCAAATGTCAGAAAAACAGCTCGTGTATATCGATCGATCCAATGATGTGCTCGTAAATTTTCAAAACCCGCTCGAATCTGAGGAATGGTCATCCCTTGAATTTCGTGCACATAACCACCGGCGAGATAAGTAGCGTGTGCTGTTGAATAAATCAATGTTTTGTCTTCAGATGGTTTATATTGAAATGAATGAAGAAATTTTTCCGATGTAACACTATGCAAATTGTCACCGAATGGTGCTGTTGCTTGATTGTACCATGTGTAGGGAAGATTACAATCGTCGACTTCCATTCGATTGCGAAGAACTTTGCGTGGACATGAGTCTAAAAGAAAACATTTATTGTTTAAATTTTGTGAAAAACATTCGGAGATAATCACCGTTTTTCACACGTAATTGCCGTAAAATTGGCCAACCGATGACGTGATTTGCACGTGTATGTTGCAACAGCAATGTTCGGCTATTTTCTTTATATTTCCACATTGTTTTGTGATATTTAATCGGAAAAACTAGTTCCAGCCATTTCCAATAATCATCGATTGACCGAATAGTTTCACTGATATGAGTCACGTTTTTATGTCCTGAATTAGGTTGTTTGCCATAGCGACGGTCTGGACTTAAGAATTCTCGTCGTAGATAATGAACCATGCGATGGGACTGCTCGATATCGCGATTCGCATAACTGATCGCATATAGAACGGCAAGGAAGATCAAAAGTAGAGATAATTCACGTAGGATAAACCATGCTTTAACTTCTCTCAGACGAATCAAACGTAGATGGTTTAACAGATCTTTTTGGCGTTTTGAATGGTAAGAGTCAAGACGAGTTTTAGCCAGAATCGATTTTGGCTGGAAATTCCAAAACAAAGACTTGAAGATCATTCAGAAGACAATGATACTTACTGGAAATTTTCGATGTGCATCCGTAGTTGAAATTGTAAAATCCTCCACTGGATCTTCTTGTTCAATAAACGCTTCTTCCTGTTCTTTCTTTCGACAAATACACATGAACAGAATCGCCAGCGAGAGAACTTTCAACGGCTGTGTAATCAATACCGATGTACAAAAACTGGCAAGAATCGCACCGAGCCATTGTTGTACCTTTTCATTTCCCATTCGAACACTGGCGAATAGAATAAATACAACTGACGTTGCAGCCATCAAGAACGAAAGAAAATAGGCAATGATTAGAAACCACCAGGGAAGAAGAAATTTCTTTTTTTTGCTTGGAATTTCACTTGGAAGCTGTGATCTCTTTGCTCGGATAGTATGAAGAGCTTCACCAAGTGGAGAGATGGTTCGAGGATGGCGTAGTTTTATTCGACGAAAAAGAGTAACGAGAAATAAGCTTGGAAGGAAAATGATTAGTTCAACCATAACACCAATGCTGACCTGAAAAAAGCATTCAAGAATGTACCCATGATGAAGACATTGTTACCTCTTCTTTTGAAATATGAAATGGACCGATCGTTAATCCAAATTCATCCAATTCATCTTGTGTAAGATTTTCTTTCACATCATAGTAGAGAATATTCATCAATAGACTAATGAAGAGCAATACAAAACAACAAGTGCACCGTTGTACTCGAGTAAAACGATTTGCCGATGGTAAGTGATAAGCAAAGATCGAGAACCATAAATGATTGTCAGCCATCGATCGATAGGCATTTTTCGATAGCGTATATTTCAGTTCATGTTGTTCGAATTCACTTGCGACTGTCAGTGTTCGATCAATCTAAATTCCTTTATAAGCACTCGGAAATGTCAAAGATTCACTCACTTCGCCTGAACCTTTCTCGACGGCTAACCATTTTTCACAGATGAAGTAATCCGTCTCCATTGTTTGTAAATTTCGAACGAGAATATATTTCAGATACCACGAAGCGTCGGAATCGAATCCGGAATTATCATGCCAAATGCGAAGATAGTTCAATTGACCAAGTGGTCTAAGAAGTAAGATTTGACTCGACTGAAAAATACAAGAGAAGTTTACCTTTGAACGGCCATGATAAATGAATCAGCTTGTCCACGGCCAAGTATTTGTCGATCAGCTGTCAAGGTTCGTATATTTGTATTATCCTTATCTCCCGAAAGAATGAAATGTACCTGGAAATGTTTATAGAAAGTCTTTCTCTGTCACTTAGTCTTCTCACCTTAGACTTTGTTCCTGCATTAGCCCGCATCCCTGTAAATACAACTAATTGATAAAGATAAGTATCACGTGGGTTATTATCGAGTAATGGAATGACCATCAACTGAAAGAAGAAGGCGACAATTATAAGCTAGTGGGAGGAAGAGATGTTAGATGATACCATCTTTGCATCAAATAAATCTTTACGACGAGAAAATGCGATTGTGACCACATACAGCAGACCGATAACGATCAAGGTAATATAGATTATATAATTACGCTCAATTGAGAAATCGCCGTTGAATTCAATAGGATTCGGCAGAATGACAAAACCACTAGCAAAGGTTGTTAAGTGTGTCGAATAACATTGTGTAAAACGTTCATTTGATTCTTTACCAACCTAATTTATGAAGTCAAACACAAATCATTATTTGATAGATTTTTAAATTCTTACAGTCAATCCATCAGACTGCCAAGTTTGATCTTTATGAAGATAATAGCAGCCGGATGTATACATTCGAATAGAGTAATCCGATGAAAAACGGTTGTCACCATGCTGACCATTAATCTTGCATTTCTTTAATTCACGAATACCAAGAACAGCCCATTGATGGTGTGAAATCAGAGTATTCGGAAGAAAGTAGATGTATTTCAATGAATTGTTTTTTCGATCTAAAGTAGTGATATGAACCAAATCAAATTCTGAAAAATAGAAACTAACCTTTCGGACAGAGAAGTTTGGAGTCATCAACGAGATTGGTTCGCAGATTTGGTACACCATTGAATCGAATGATAAATAAATACGACAGATCTTTATCTTCAGGTTCAAATTCCACGTGCAATGATATCGATAAATTGACGTGATGAGTTAAATTGATGTGATAGAATGTGAATTCCGATTTGTTGGATAATAGAGTTACATTTTGTCGGAACATGGCCGATGAAATAGCACTGGTAAGTGGCCGTGGGATGAGAATTTCAAATGGTTTGGCCGTATTTTTAATATCGAGAACTTCGCCATGTTGGTTATGTAGCGTTAATGAAACGATTGACGATAAAGGTAAAGTCATTAACTACAATGTAGAGAGAAAATGTAGCTTCTCAAGAGATGAAAAGAATGTTTCGTTCACTATTACATTGATGATTGTTGATTGATTGATATTCAATTCTGGAAACCGAATTCGAACACCATTTGGCTGGTATAAATGTTTGCCGGCAAGATGTTTTCCAGATACTTTCTCCAATGTGATAGAAATTGCTGGATAGTCTAGTTCTACTTTTTCAACGTTTTTCAAATTTTGATTCAGCTCGCGTTTTGGAATCTCATTACGATTTGCTGTCGATGATACACACGTCAAATTATTCTCTATGGTGCAAAATACTAGTTTTCATATGTGTATGACATTACTAACCGTTCTTGAACCATTTTTGTTTAGACCAGATTTCTTTTTCGAACGCGTTTGACTGAAGAATCGTCTGCTTCAATAAATCGAACTCTCTTTGAGAATGCCAATCTAAGATTGCATAACACTCCAATATAGATGTCCATTTTCTTATTTTACTTACTTTGATCGAGAATCGATACACGATTGAGAATATCTGCTGAACTCTCACTTCGATATTTCAAGATGAAAACTATAGTGTATTCAACTGATTAGATCGAAAACAAGTATCAACAGACTTACGTAATAGAAGAAGAAGCTTACGCTGACAATACATCATAATGATATTTCCCAGGAAACTATCTGCTACATACTGAAATGATGTTTTGATTTAACCTTATTTAAATTCTAAAACTCGACACCGCCTGACACGTTCTATGCGGTAAATACTTTGTCATGAATTCGCTGACGTCAGAACATTTAGTATTAAATATCATCAAATTAAATACAACCGATAAATATGCATTTTTTAAAGTAAAATCAAAAGACCGTTCAAATTTTACATTCTGGATAAGTTCAGTACTTTCCATACGAATTCACACCTGTATTTGCTACTGAATACGATGGCGGTTGATCATAGCCCATCGATTGTTTGTTATATGACCCGTGCCCTTGTTGATAAGGCGGATACTGTTGATAATAACCCGTATTCATCTGCTGCCCGTACGCCCCATTTTGTGGATTATAGGGTGGATATTGACCTTGCTGAGGATAGACTTGGGGCGAATTGTTTTTCTTACAGCACATTGCATAAAAACTGAAGGCAAGTCCAACGACTGTTGCAAGTGCTAGAACACCTCCGACAGCAATTCCAACAATATCAGCAACACCCAGACTTCCGCTTGACATGACTTTCGTGTGAGAGAAGAAGAAAATTTGGATTTTTCGTATTTGAGTTGATCGAACGCTGTACACGTTTGGTCTTCAACTCTTTTTCTTTTCTTCTTCTGTATTATAAGGGTGAGAATCGTTATTTATTTAACGAAAATTTCGTCGCAGAAAGGAGAAGAAAATGGACTTTTCAACAAAAACAATCAAATTTCATGAAGCCTTTCGTAAGTAATTATTTCTTCTGTTGAACACAATATGAATCACTTCGCAGATCAATCCCAACAAACTTTTTGATTATTCCAAGCAAACAAAACGTGAAAATCGAATAAAAAAGTCTTATTTTCCTCCTGATATTCTCGTTTGTTTCCTTTGTCTAATCAACCTGGCAATCAAATATTATTGATGTTGGTTGACAAGACGTGTTCGTCTCACTTTGTCAACATATTTTCAATTATATCATAATAGTATCAATAGGACATCGTCCGCCCTATTTGTCAGGTTTGATGATGTTTTCTTCGAAGGAACACATGTCTCGATGGATCAAATCATTTGTGCACATTCATCGATCTGTCACATTTTTTTTGTTTGCAGAACGAAAAAAGACAACGAAGCGTGGGCGAGAAAAGAAACAATTAACAGTAGCTATGTAAATAAAGTAAAGTTGGAGATTTGAATAGATCCATTGGTTTATGGAATAATCTGATATTGATACTGAAATATCATCTAGTTTGTTGTTCGAACGTGTGAATTTCTTCATAAGAAGGTGGTGCATCTTCGGATACTTTTTGACGTTCCGATCCAATTTGTTGCATTGGAGTTACTGAATAATGAGCATATGGAAACATTGATACTGATTGGTCGGATCGTTCGATTTGTGATTTTTTTCTTTTACAAAAAAGTAAATACACAGTTACAGCAACACATATGGAAAAAACAAGTCCAATTATAATTCCAAGAATAAGACCAATAGTTCGGGTCGTTCCGTTAGTTGAATCGAATGGGGCAGTTGTGTCTGGTGGACATGTCATCGTAAACGAACACATCGATGGCATATTGTCTAAAGAAAAGAATCGAATGACTGTCGACGAGTAGATATTTGAAGACAAAACAGTAGGAGACAAAAAATGATGACTGTATATATATATGCTTATCGATCTAGTACAAATTTGTCTATAAATCAAAACTTCAGGTGTATAATGAATGAATCAGAGTGAGTAGAAAGAAGATGTTGATTATATTAGAAGATAATTGAGTTTTTATTGAATATATACAACAAAAACATCTCGATTTATATTATACGTGTGTGAAAGATAATATTCAGTGTTTTGTGATTAGTATGTTGAGCTTATCTGTTCTTGAGTTTGAGGTTTGGAATGTGTTGAACGAATTTGAATGTGGCATGAGTTTCGGATATATCGTTTACAGCATAAAATGTACATAAGTATGAAAAGACAAACGATAGAGATTGCGAATGCTATCGCACCAAGGACATATCCCACGATAGTATTGTTACTTTTGGGTTCGTCTGCTCGAAATCTTTTACATTTCGTTCCGTTGATGTCGCAAGACATTTGTACGTCAAGTTTGCCAGTGTCAAATGACGGAAGAGATAAAAACAAGTAGTAGTAGTCTTTTTTATTTCGTAGAATAAAGCAAATTTACTTGAAGACATCAAGGCCTGGATCGGTCGAAAATCAAAAGAAAATAGAAGAAGAAGAAGAAGAAAATAAAGACAAACAGAGTTAGTTGATGTCACCGAAAATGCTTTTGCTATACCGTATTCGGTGGAGTACTGTAGACATCCGGTTGAACTTGAGGAGCTTGCGGTTGCAATATCATTCCGGGCGTTGTTTTAGGTTTACGACAGCAGGCACAATAGATACAGATACTGATACATATGATAAGTCCAACACCAACAACAGCGCAAGGAATAGCAATGGCGAGAATAACGGCAGTACTCAAAGCAGAATTGGCTGTTTCGATGGCTGAGGACATTTTGATAGTGGAACTGTTGAATGCAAAGAATCTTGTTGGAAAGCTGATTCTCTTCAAATGTCGTTTCCGATTTATAGAGTTAAACTATTGACAACATTTACAGATTGAGAACAGTAAGTGTTTTCCTTGACGGTGTAATATTTACATTTCAACCCTGACACGTTCACGCAGATGACTTATAAATAAATAAAACCTCATTTGAGTCATTTTTATTCCTAATATTAATCAAACAGGTCGAAGTATTTACTGTTTCCATGGCTTGTTTCTGCATCGCAACCGTTCCAAGAGCATCATTTCTATGAACGTAGTCAAAAACACACATTGATTTGACTCGCGTCTCTTTCCACTCGTCATGGAAAACAATGTCACAAATTATAAGTAAATAATCACAATAGCCTTATTCTCAGTACAAATATGTGACTACACGTATAGTTTCATATGAAATCATACTTTCGGTTTATCCTACATATTCTTATCTAGAACAATAGCATGGTGATTGCTCCTCAAGAGCGACAAAGAAAGTTAGTTCGCTTTATGACAGAGGTTCTTCACCGGCAAATACTCATTCCAACGAAACAATCATGTTGGTTTCTCTTCGAGAAAATTAAACTTATTATGAAAAACTTCAAAAGCTTTTCTCTTCGATTTCAACAATAAAAAACACATAAAAACTCTCTATCACAGGTTTCTATTACAAAAGAGAGAAAAACCAACGATCTAGTTTGAATTCATCTTACAGATGAAACTTATCGAAGAACTTTTTCATCGATATACACATATTTCGACGTTGTGCCAAAGCTATTCCTTGTTAAGCATTGATATTTTCCCAGATCGTACCGAAGATCAAAATCAGGTACAACTAATATTGAGGTTCGATCGTTTATTGACAATTCGTAAGAAACTTTCGTAGATGGCAGCCGATCGTTGACGCTCCATTGATGATCGGCGTCTGAATCATCTACAAATCAGTACGATGGAAGATCATATTTGTCTGCGATTCTTGAACAAGTGAATTTACCTGAATAACAAATCAATCTCAATTCGCGGTTTGAAAATAATTTCGACATATCAACAGTTATGTTTATTCTCGGTTTTTCTTCGTTATTTTCATGAATATTTACATATGTGTCGAACACTAACGTCCGTAGAGTGTGTTTCGATCGCCTGGACTTGATTGCGCATTTGTATTTACCATGGTGCTCTGACTGAAATGGATGGAATTCGAGACGAGGACCGCGAATATGTACATGTTTAGAACGACTGGGTATATTTAACCAAACAACTTTTCCATGGGGAATATCTAAGTAAACAACGAAAAAACATGTGAACAAAATCGAAGCTGGTGATGAATCATACCGTGTCCGAGTCGACAAATTAGCGTAATATTATCTCCAACGTATTTCCCTTGAATGATTTCAATCATTGATTGGTTTGGTTGAATGACCTTCATTTTGTGAATATCGAAATTGTTGATCGAATCAAACAGAGTTTGAGATATTGATATAAATATTTGTGTATGAGAATTCTTGCATTGATACGAACCGAAATGCTTCGCGGTAAATTTCGGAATATGAAGATAAGAATTGTTGACGATGATTCCGTGTACAGAATGATTTGACATCCATCGAACGGACGCGTTGTCAGGGGATGAACAGTTGAGAAGAATATTTCCGTTGAGTTTCAATTGAGTGACGGACGAAAGAAAATCTATCTGAAGAGACGATGTTGATCTACATGGTAAATCATTCGTATAAAGATTCGCTTCTGTGACATCAAAGCCAATCGCTTGAGGTTTCGTCGAATTCAGTGATATACACTCGTACCGTGCAATATCTTTTCGAGTGAGTTTATTGAAGAAAAGAAATGATTGAGAAACATTTCGAATGGATTTCTCTGTATGTTTAATCCACCTGGTTGAAATCGACGGATCTGAAAAAGACCAGGATCGATTGGTGTTTAGATCTCGAAATCAATTGAATTATACTTGTAGAAACACATTCAACTATTAGACGACCACCGACGTAGTAATCGGAAGATGATGAATACACTTGTAAGGAGAGGCTTGTTTCGAGTGCACGAGATAAATTGTTCGGTTGGAAGTCAATCGAACGAGAGAGATGCCGATTTGGAGTATCGGCCGAGCATGTGTAAGTGCCAAGATTAAATTTATCGAAATTGTAGATCAGTAGATGCCCATCATTTGTCATATAGGTATTGCTGGGCAATAAACCTGAATGAAACGACCAGGAGAGATTCTTAGATGGAAGACCTGAAAGGTAATGGATATTTTTAAGATCATCGAAATAAATGACGGACCTTCGACATAGCAATAGATATCGATAATTTCTCCTTCGCGAATACCATTTGAAGCAGTAACCAGTTTGATAAAGATTTCCGATGGTTGTACTAATGTGAATGAAAAAGAGTGCATATATCGATGAAAATAGTTTCCAATTTACTCTCTTGGCTCTTTTCGTGTAAGGTTCGATCAACGGTGTTGTTGCTAACTATTGCAATCAACTTGTCTTGCGAATAGCGTTGAATTCGAACGATTTTTCGATGTAATTTTCCGTCAATATCGTTGGCGTGACAAATAAATCTCTTATTAATCGATTTTAAACCGAAACGCATTCTCAATGGATTGTTTTCTCGTCGTCGATGATTGATTGACGACCACCATATGCGTCGTGCATGTGGTAATTTACAGTTAAACTTAATCTCACTATCTATAGGAAAGATATTCATCGGTTCGATGTCAATCGATATTTCATAGCTGATATTTTGAACTAAAAATGGCAAGCAAATATGAAATCTTGATTTAAACTGCTGCTAACCATCGAGAATGATAGTTTTCGAAGTTGATCCATATCTGTTTGTTGCGATACAGACGTAAGTGCCATTATGTTCGAAGAGTAGAGGCATATTCGGGGGAAATAAGTACGGCGTCTTGGACAATTCGTAATCAGCCTGAAAGTATTCTGAGTGGCAATGGTGTTCGCAGAAAATTCGCTCACGTACAATGTCTGCTCGGCGCCAAGTAATATCAACAGATGTGTTCTTATCTTGATTGAGACATGCAATGGTTTGTCGAGATTGAAAGGGTACTTGAAGATACCCATTATGCATTTTTGGTGCGATATCAATCGACGGTGGAGTTCCTGTCATTCAAAATCTCTAGTTCTTATTGAGATAGATTCATCACTCAGCGTTACCAGAAATCTCGATCGTTACTGGCTCCTCCGTATAACCAACGCGGTTTCGACCGCGACAAACATATTGACCAATGTCCGATTCGGATATAGAATCAAAATCCAGTATACCATTAGAATGCTGATTTAGTAGTGTAATTAATATCTCTTCTTTTCTATAGTAAAGAAATGAGTCAAGTCTTGGCTTCTAATCATCGCATGAAGTTCATTAGGTCTACTTTTGAAGTTGGTTAATAGAATATGATTCTATACAAACATCTACGATACAAACCTAAACCAACGGATTACTGTTCGGAGAGTTTCATATGGATCATAACATCTGACTCGTAATTTTTCTCCGTGAGATACTCGAATGTATGATGACGGTTCAATAATCAACTTCGGTCTGCGAAGAATTGCTAAATGAATGAATAGAAGAAATCATTATGTGATTTCAACATCTAAGTATCAGTTAAACACATCTACTTTGATCAAACACACATCTAAACACCGCTATAGATTTGAACCTACATGTGCAGTCTTTTGTTTGATTGATCTTGTTTATAAAGTTAGTCGCAAAAACAGATACAAACAACAACAGAGTAGCAGTAGTAGTATTAGCAAATATGCGAAAGAAGAGAACACCGTTTGGGCAATTAGCGAGAAAAGAATCAAGTTTGTAGTAGGAGAAGAGTGACACTGTGTTACAGTTACAAACACAAACGAGAATAAACGAACGATGGAGAAGCTAACTGAGTGTATGCACACGAATAAAAGAGAAAGAATGAGAGAGAGAGAGAAAGAGAGATCAGCGTAGCTAGTCTAAAACATTTGATCAATTAGAAGAAACAAACTACAAAGCGAATAGAGAACACAAGTAAAAGAAAATTAATAAATTTGAGCTTGAAATAATTAAAAACCTAGTTTTACGAAAATAGATACCAGATAAAATTCAAAGAAAGAAAAGAGAAAAAAAGAAAATGATTATATTATTGTTCTGTTCATATTGACTAGTGTGTATTAATATTTCACACAAGTTTGTTGTTTATCTACGTGCGTCTTTTCTTCTTCTTCTTACTTAATTGCTCTCCACCGCGAATATTGACCGGTGCATAAGCATGATGGGCTTGACCTTGGCCTGGGACATCAACTTGACATTGAAAGTACATTTGAGTATCAGATGTATCAGCGGTTGGTTCGATTATGACGTCGTTTCCTTCTTGCTATAAACAAAAAACGGACATGAACAATGCTTTGTCAGAAAAAAGCCAATGATACGTACACGAGCGAAGCTCGGGAGACTGGTGTCATGTGCGTATTGGCCCCATGTAACTTTATATTGATCAGCACCTCTGACTCGGCATGTAATTGTTGCTCTCTCACCACGAGCGAGAGTTACTTCGGTTGGTTCGACAGTAACTTCAACATATCCGCTTTGTTGTCCATGGTCACCACCGTGTTGACCATAATCGCCACCGTGCTGATAATGTTGATCATAACCACTAGCCGCAGCACCACCAATACGGAGATCATAGCTGCTTTCTTGTGTGCCAGCTTCTGGTGCACGTGGGAAGGTAACTTCACATCTTGAATTGGAATAAGATAGCTTCAGTTGAAGTCCATTCTCAAAAAATATTTATCTTACCGATAACGACCAGCGTCTTGTGCTTGAGCATTACGAATAATCAATAAACCAGCAGGATGTACTTCCACATCTATTGAAATGGAATGAAAGAAAAAAAGTCATACATTATTTCTTTTTTGTTTTTTTTTCTTACTGCTTTCTAATGGACGGCCGTCTTTTGTATATGTAAATTCATATGGACGTTCAACACTTCCATGAACAGCACACTGTAAGTAGATATCATGTCCTACTTGATGATTTTGTTCGTCACGTGATTGGAACTGAACGGCAATGTAACTACGTTGTTGATCTTGACCGCCAGCACCTATGAAATCGAAAGTGTTGGTATATTGCAACGAAAATTAATCAATTCATTCTGAACACGGCATGCGCATAGCAAGTAAAAGGTAGAATTCGAAGAGCAAAAGCATTACTCGATGAGCGAACACGGAGTGTTAAAATATCAGAAATATCTCCTGATGAGCAGATAAATTCAAGGCCGTCGTCTTGTTTAGTAACAGCAGCTAGCGAAAGATAGCCATTTGAGAATGAGAGACCAAGTGGGGTACGTTCGCGTTGTTGTCGGTTATACCGTGTGACATCTAACTGGAGTGTAGATGGATCGACATCAGTTCGGCAAATAGCCTCGAGACGATGTCCTTCACTTAGATCAAGTTGATGAACATTCCATTGAACTCGTCGATATTGATTATTAGCTATCAGTTAAGGAATTAATAAGCAAAAGCAAAAATGAAAGGTGATTCATGGTTAAACAGAAGCGAAAGCAACTCATCACACATGATCGAACATCTAACTTACCGTATTGACCTTGTTGACTTGCTAAAATATGCAAAAATAGATGTATTAGTATGTGATTTCTATTTGTAAAAAAAATAGAGCGCTACGAGATAAGAAATCTTCGGAATATAAATAAAGCACGGGTATACAAAAAGGGACTTTGCTAAAGGAATTATCTACGACAAAAATATTCAAGTCTAGTTTCTTTTGTCTTTTTTATCATCGATTAGGTTCTTGGTTTTCGTCTTCGTCTTCGATACCGCTTTTTAGCTACAAAAATGGAACCGATTTTGTAATTTAGTTCGTTTTCATGAATTATCTTCTCTCGAGATTCAAGTCTTACATGCGTCTCTCCATTGAACTGTAATTGGTGATGATGTACGACCACGAGCATTGGTTACATCAAGACTGTATTGACCAGCAACATCAGAAGAGTGACCTTCGATACGTAAGTAACCGTCTTCACGAGCTGTTACACCGTGAGGCAAGTTTGTTGAACCATCTTTTGACCAAGTGATTGTTGCACCATTTGATCCCTAGCAATGCAGATGCAATTGAAGCATTTTGAACAAAAAACATCGATTTAGTCGGATCTTACCGAAATGTTGGGTACAATATCGATAGTTTCGCCAGATCCAATGCTATATTGGCTTTGTTGGAAGCGAACTTGAGGTTGACCACGACGACGACGTGGTTCAACGTTGATACGAATTTCTTGTTTATCTTCACCATGTGAATTGCGAACAACGACTTGGTAATCACCAGCTGCATCAGGTGTAGCACGGTTGAGGACAAGACGATTGGATTCGACAGTGAACAATGATGGAATTGGTTGATAGCCTTGATCAGTTAATTTATTCCAAACAACTTCAATTGGTTCATGTGACTGAACAAAAGAAAAAAGCGATAGACCATTGGACAAATAGAGACATTAACATACAGCAACAGAGTATTGGACAATCATACGTTGACCTTCTTTCAAGTTGATGACACGTGGTTGAATGACTACTTTTGGTGGACCACCTAGATTAAAATAGAAATAAAGAGATTAGCATCAATCATTTTCATGTCTTTTGTTTGTTTTTTTTTGCAACAAAACAGTATTGATTTTCCGATGACGTACCGCCGATAGGTTGAGGTCGTTCGCCAGGTTGTGACGCATCTGGATAGTCTAAGTAGACTGGGATGCGTTCAACGCTACCATCAGAATGAGTAATTGTGCAAACATAGTTGCCAGCTTGTTCTTGTGATGGGTTTCGAATGACAAGATCGTTGTTTTCTTGGAAGACACCAGCTGGCAATGGTCGACCATCGGTACGACCCCAAACAACTGATTGTGGTTGAATGTTCTAGAATAAAACAAATAAGATTGTATTCTTTATGTCTTCTTCGAAGAACATACGAGAATTTGAAGTGGAATACGTTGTTCTGGCTGATTCTTGTCCAAAACAATACGTAATGGTGCGGAACCTTGTCCACCATATGGTCGTTCTCCCACAAAGTATGTGCCTCGGCCACCATCTGGTTGTGATGGATCTACAGAAAATTTCAATCAAAACATAATTTGTTTTTAGTCCTGAATAGCATATTCTTACATGGTCCATATTGATCTTCTCGGACGCATTGATTGCTACGTCCATCGAGAATATATCCTGGACGACATCGTTCGCATCGATCACCTTCGCTGTTTCCTTGACAGCCCTATTTAGAAATAGACAATGAAGAGATTTTTATCATACATATATTATAGCTGAATAGAATACGTACTGAACATTTGCCTGTGTCGCGATCGCATTGATCTGATCGTTCATGACATAATGATCGGCATGACCAGCATTGTCCCAAATAGATACCGACCAACGGATGTGGGCGGCCATAACCTTCGGCACATTTTTCACACGATGTACCAGTATAGTTAGCTGGACAGCTGCAGGATTCAACTGTTGGAGCGGCATCAAGATAACCATCGCGAGCAGCAACATTCAATGTAACACCACGAAGGCTAAGATATTGAAAAAAAAGGAAGAAACTCAACAATGCTTTCACGACTGGTTACTTACACGGCGTTACGTCGACCACCAATTGGATTGATTTTAACGAGGAAAGTATCCAAATCAGATAGTGCCATGAGAATATTTTCTCGATCAATGTGTGCGCCATCCTTACGTGTGAATGTACGCTAAATGAAACAAAATATCTCATTTCAACAGCTTTCATTGATGTTCACGGTGTTACTTCATTGCATGGTACTGAATATGTAGCATTCGTATTGGCTTTGAATCGTTGTGTAGATGGGAGTTTGTGAACAAGATCAATATTGTTACCACGAAGCCAAATGAATTCGTCGCTGCTTGGTGCTTCTTGATCGTTGCCATCGTTGGTGAAATGGATATCAATGTTACCGTCGTATAATGTAACAACATCACCAAGAACTTCTTTCGGTGCTTTCCAGTAGAGAACATCATTGGCAGGTCGGCCCAATGAATTCTGATCAAGAGCGATTTCACGACCGTTTTGACGACGTTGAATCTTGTCACCAGCTTCATATGGATCAGTGGCAAATGTTTTTGGTACGGCATTCCAATTTTCCAATGGAAGAGCGACCTAATTAAAGGAAAGATATGGTTGGCAAGATTTGCAAATAAAAACAAATAAACATACAGCTTGTCGTCTCCAGTCTGATGACCGACATTCACTTGAAACACCTGAGCAGAAGCATGGTAAGCAACCATTTGGTGATATAGGATTCAAATAGAAATTATTATGTTTG